CTGAATGTTGTAATCAAAGGAACTAGTTAGAGAACAGAAAAATAAAACAAATTTTCTCCTAGAACTGGCCTACTGCTAGCAGGACCTACCGCTCCCCCTCTGAGCGGAAGCTCTACCAACTGAGCTACAGAGGTATGAAGCAATTGCCAACGAATTGTTCTTAACATTACTTTATACTGTAATCGACATGATTTTGAGGAAGCTCTGAATTTAAAATTTTCTTCGAATTTTTCCCTAATAAATTAAAAAAATAAAGGTATTGACTTTTATGCAATAATCTTAACATTACATTAACATTACATTCCATCGATTGATTTGATTCCATTACGGTATTTACTTTTGCAAGCAATGAACGAAATAGCTCTTACAGGACTACAACACATTAAAAATATTTGAGGTTCTAAAACGAGTATTACTGGCAATTTTATAATAATTAGAAGAGTGTAAAATTAATTATAAATTGGATTATTATAATTAATTAATGAGTGGCAATGTTATTGCACAGGTGCAACATATACAACCATACTTAGATCATCAATAAGGGCGAGAAATAGTAGTCATGCCGGATAGTCAATAAACCAGTGAAAAACTAAGCTCGTTCTCAGTATATTCTCTGCTGTTGCTTGATATTATCTGGAGGGACTCACTGAACTGGGTAGACAGAACCTGGTGATGCTCTGCTGGATACCATGACGCAGAAATGTAATTTCATATTTTACTTTATTAATTTTTTTCAATGCAAATTTTCAATGATCCAAAACATTTACATGTTTAGTACTCTTCTGTTATTATTCTTTCTTTATAAAAAAAAAATAAGTACAAAAATGTGTTTTCTTCAAGGATATCATAAAGATATAAGACAATAAGAATTAAAGTATAAAATAAATTTGACGTTTCTATAACAATATCTTAATAAAATATTCTATTCCTATCCAAGTAAGAAAAGAAGACAAAATAATATCTACTTAAACTAATTCGGTACGTGCATTACAAAAAAAAATTGGAATATCAAATATCAAAAATTTTTACTAAAAAAATTAAGCTAGAATACGAGTACAATAATTAAGCTGAGCTGTCAAAATAAGATTTTCAAAAAAAATTTTCCTCCTTTCGAAATTTTGTAAAATTCGAATTTTTGCCACCTTATATTTCCAACACTGTAAGCTTCTAAAAATTCCTCTAAGTAAAGAAAGCTAACGGTAAATTCAATACCATTAGAAAAGTATAATTATTAACTCTTGCAATCAACCCCTAAATTCGGGCTTTATATTAACGCCTCATTTAATTTTTTTTAGATTTATTTAAAAGATTGAGTACATTGCTCATCCTAAAGTTATGCAATTTTGTGTAATGATTAAAATTAAAAATCATCACAGTTATTGATTAGAATTTTTGGAAGCTGCTAAGTTCCTAAAGCTTAGGAATGAAATGGAATTTTTTTAGTAGTATTTTAAATAAGCCTACCTCAATTACTTATAGGTATTGAAATTTGAAAGTAGTGCAAATCAATTAATTCACTGTTGTATCCTAAAATATGAACATTTTTCTATGCAATGATTAAATTTGTTTTGTTACTCTACATGTTGTTTTGTTACTCTACAGTTATTGCTTGTCCTAAGCAGTTCCTCTTATAATAAAAAGTGTGATGACTGCAAAATGACACTTAAGCGGGACTCTCTCCTGGCACGAATGGATCTAACTCAAAATACAACCTTTTTAAATAAAGGACATAAAAACCGCAATTTTAAGAACATAATTAAATAATTTTTTTATAGTTCTTTAATAACAAAAATTTCCCCGAATTTCCTTATTTTTTTTACTATAAAATAATTTTAATTGTTTTATTTAGATTTTAATTTTATAAAAATAATATGTTTAGACTTGAAATTGAATTTATTACCATACATTTTCCCAATTTAATATTATTTATACTTTAAAATTAAAAAAAAATGTATTGGAATTAAAGCAAAAACAATTTTAATTAAAATTGAATTTATTCAACAAATAATTTTAAATATAAATTGCATACCTTCAGGCTAAACATTTGCTATTAAAATAGAAATTTTGTAATTAAATTTATGAAAACAACAATTTATAATATTAGAAATAAAACTATTAATATTTCATAAATTGTACAGGTCTATTATTATTTTTGTCTTTTCATTATGAAAATTTTTCGGCAAATTAATTTCACCTCATAAAATCTGGATTATAAATGTATTTTTGACAAAATTAAATAGGACAATTTTAATAATATTACTTAGCAAACAATTTTTTGAGTAGAGCAAAAAGATGGGGCAAGTAATTCGACTCATAGTTTGTGACGTCATACCCTATGATTGGAAGAGAAATTTTTGATTAAGCATATTTTTGCCAATATAATTCTAAAATTGAAGAATTTTTATATGGTCTTTAAAAGAACATTCTTTTCAAATTGTTGCACATTTTAAAAGTTAATTTGAGGTAGAATTTAAAGCTACGAGTTTATTTTTTTTAAATAAGGTACTTAAATCTTAAAATGTTATAGAGTTTTTAGAAAATTTTCAAGTTTATTTTGAAAATTATCAAAATTTATGAAAAATTTTTACAAAATAATATTAAGCAAGTGCAATATTTTCACTTGCATTTCAAATAAATTCAAAAGAATGCCAAACAAATTTAAAGAGATGAAGTTGTATCAAATGAAATGAACATTTTTGCTCATCATTGCTCAATCAATATATCTCAACTAAAGCTACTATTTAAATTCTAAAAATTTTTATTAAAAATATAGAAAATTTTTAAATAGTGAAAGATTTTTTCTATTCCTTTCATGTTCAAGTTTTTCCCATTAATTTAAGCAAAAACGAAAACTCAATTTTCTTTTATATTAAAGAATATTAAATTTAAATTAATTTTCTATGAAAAAAAAAAATACTGACATTTTCCTTTCTTTTTTTTTTTTGTCCTTGAAAATTTTTCTCTTTTTCTATTCTTCCCAATTTTATTTTGTATCCACTTATGCCCACGGATTCGTTAAAATTCAATAATGTTTCATAGAAAATTGATTTTACGTTCTTTTTTTTTTGTCAAAGAAAATTTAATAAATTAAGAATGTTGTTCACTTAATTCAGAAAAACTTACAGTAAAAAGTATTCCAAAAATAATTTTAATTTTAAAAATTGAAAAAAAAAGGAACAACCTTACTTTAACATTGAAGTTCCTAAAAGTATGCAATGAAAAATTTACTAAATTTTAATTCTGCCTTGTAAATTACAATAAATTGCGCCATTTGCGGTCACGACACTCTTATAAAATATTAAAATATTCTTTTGAAAAAATAATTTGTAAAGTTCCAATTGAGTACCTCAAGTGTTTATCGTAATTTTTAATTAATATGCTGAGAATATGCCGGTGCAAACTTAAAACTATTCATTTTGATTTCATTTTAATCAACAATTAATACTTCTAAATTGGTTGAGAATTTCAGTTTAAGAGTGCTGAACCCCATGAAATTAATATGAAATAGAACTTGAATTATTACCCTATAGTTTTCAAAGAATATTAGAAAATTTTCTATAGTAATAATACAAGTCGAATATCAACTAATAAAAAGTTCTAAATAAATCCTTATTAAACCCTAAAACAATTGTTTGCTTCAAAATGACAAAACTATCGCAATAACGAGTTTCCACATTATGTAATAATCAAATAATCAAAGTTAAGTTGATTATAACTGTGTAATTGAAATGAATATGAATGAACTACTTTTAAAATACTCTTAACGAATTCCTGAAACTATAAACCATAGATGTCAAGACTTTTGAAACTATGGGCCAATTTCCAATATTCTATATGACAAAAGGGCCACAAAATAAAACAATTAATTCAATTTTTAAGGTGTATAAACGTTTATTTATTTTTTATTAGAAGTACTGGGAGCTGAGTGACACTGCTTCTGTTGAACAAGTCTTAAAATATTGGGTTTATAAGTCTTAAAATATTGGGTTGGGTCAAATAATTTTTCATACTACAGCCACCAAATATTTTTTTTGGCCAACAAAATCAAAACAGTTTAAACCATAATAATATTTTAACAATTCGTTCTAGAGGGCCGCACCAAAATAAGAAAATGGCCGCATGCGGCCCACGGGCCGCACTTTTGACATCGATGCTATAAACACTACCTATATATTTCTAAAAAGATAAGAAATTTATTTAAGTGATTTCAACAGTGAGAATGTAACACAGTATGTATAAAATAATTAAACTTTTAATTGATAGTTCACTTCATTAAAGAATTTCTTAATTAGAAAATTTCTTAGAAATTAATTTTACATATTAAATATTTTTATAAAATTGCTTCTACTTTTGAAATTATTTTAATTTAAATATTTTGAAATTAAATATAATTAATTAACATTAATAATTGTTTAAATGATTACAAGATAAAAGAGAATTTTAACACAAATATTCATGTACGTTTGATAACAATAAATTCATTAACAGCAGCTACAAATGAGAGAATAATTATAAGAACTATGATTAATTCTTTAAACAAAAAATTATATCATCATTAAACACCACATTGTAGTTTGCTACTTTAGACTGTATTATTATGCCAATCACTGTCATGTCGGTTTGCTCTCTTTCTATGTTACAATTTAATTTTTATAACCAGATAATATTTTTATAAATTATAATTTTCAGGTAATATTGAGAACATATTGAAAACTTATTGAGAACAAGATTAAGAACTAATTGAGAACAAAATTGAGAATATATACATACTTAATTTACGATAAATTACAGGAATTTAATACCGAATGTTGGAAGAGAATTTCAATACAAATAACAGTAAAATATAATTAGTATTACAGTTTTAACTCAAATTAATAATATTTGAATCAATTTGTTAATAATTTACATAATATTGCGAAAAAAATGTAATAATTTTATTAATATCGTAAAAATATTTCAAAAAAAATACAAAATATATATGTATTATAAAAAATAATTACTTTTCAATTAAAGTGTTATATCCAATTCAAAAGAATTAATAATTGCTATTTTTTTTTAATTTATGCCCGTATATTCCGAAACTTGCTTTTACCGTATGATTATTATTATTATATTATTATATTTTGTGCGAATATACAATTTCACTATATATATATATATTACAATTAAATAAGTATAATATTTTATTATAATTTTTTCATAATTCTAAATTATAATTTCAGGAAAGAAAAAAATTAATTTTTTCCAATTTCAAATAAAAATTCACAATATTATTTTTTCTTCATCATATTTTATACACAACATACATACACACGCATTTCAATTAATTTGAATTTTATTTTATATTAATTTTATATTAATTTTAAATTAATTTAATTTACAATTTTGTAATTCACAAAACAATATGAATATTTATTTAATATAATAATTTTTATTTAATATTATTTAAATTTTTAAAAATTACGATATACACAATTAATTTATTTTTCCTTATAAATATTCACAACACTTTTCTTTTTTTTTTTCTTTTTTTTTTTGTTAAATTTTAATTTTTTACAAATTAATTATTATTTTTTTAATTTTAAGATTAAATATTTGTTTTTAATAATTGTAATTTATTTTATTTAATTAATCTAAATTTATAAATAAAAAAAAATTCTATTATTTTTATTTTCCTATTATAAACTACTTAATTATAATTTATAATATTGTATAACAGATTAAATAACATTAAACTTAATTATTTTTTTGAATTTACAATAATTTTATAATAATTTTGTTCACAGCAAACAAAAACTTTCCATTTAAATTTGAAATTTAATTTTAATAATGACAATAGTGTTATCCTAAAGGTATGCAATTTTTCTGTAATTTTAATATTTCTTTGTTATTTGGTTTTAATAATATTAATAAAATCTTAACGCAAATTTTTAAAATTAATTTCAATTTAAAATAAATCAAAAATTTATAATTATTTCAATTTTTCATAATATTAACAATTAATTTTCTTTATAATAATAATTAATTAATACTATTATTTTTCATTTAATGTTCAATTATTTGTATATTCTATTTTTGAATTATAGTTTGGAACTGAACAGAAATTTTATAATAAATTTTCTAAGGAGCATTTAATTGAAATTTATAATTTTAACAGAGAATTTATGTAAAATATTTTTTTAACATAATTATTATATTGAATTTAACATAATTATAATAAATTTTAATTAACAAATTAAATAAACAACACTCTATATAATTATTTAACATTCAGTATAAACAAACTTCAGCTGTGGACTTTGCGATCTGGTCTACGATTTTAAATAATAAAATAATTTCTAATATAAAAGTAATAAAATAAATGCAAAATATATTTTTATCATATACTCAAAATATTTGAAAATTGCAACGAAATATTTAATTTAATAATAATTATTAGGAATTTATAATTAATTTCCATTTATTTTGTTTAATTTGATTGTTTCTATAAATATTGAATATTTCTATTTTTTTTTTTATATTTTAACAAAATTTAATATTTATTAAATTTCACAAAGAGTATAATATAAGAACACACACATTTTTCAATTGTGAATTTTTCCGAATCTGTATAACAGTTTAAATTTTTAATTAATATCAAAATAATTTTAATTTTTCAATATTTTTTTTTTCAATTCTAATTCTTGTTATTTTATTCCTTTATTAATTACCAATAAAATATCTTTATATATATATTATGTGTACATGTCCGTACATGTTTACTCATTTTATATACACATATTATGTGTGTGTGTATAGATTACATGTAGATAATTTTTTTAAAAAGCATATAGAAAGATGTTCTTTTTGACACAAATACATTAATTTATAACAGAAAAAAAATATTATAATAATATAACTCTTGTATATTATTAAACATTTTATAATTATAATAAGGTATGTATGTACATATAACCATTTATACATATATATTTAAAAACGAAAAAAAAAATTAAATAACCGGTCGATTAATATTAGAATTTTTTTTTTAATAATTTTTTTTTTTATTCTTGTATATTTTTAGTTTTTCTTTTTGTTTTCTAAAATTTTAGAACAGTTAATTTTTATTATCTCTTTTTAATAAAATTATTTTTTCTTTTTTTTTATTGAAAAAATCCGCACGATAGAGTTCCCACTGTAAACCGAACAAAAGGAACTCCATGACTGAAGAGCAAATTTACTTACAAAAAAATTTTTTTGCTAAAAAGAACAGAATTTTTTTTCTGTATTTTTTGTTTCCTTATTTTTTTTTTTAGCTAGGATCTGTTGTAAAATATCCTTTTGTTTTTGTTATTTCTTTTTTATCAAATGATGATATATCACAAATTCACCTCATTTAATATTATGTATGAGGTGAATAAAATTTATAGAATACATAATTATTATTGTATTCGTATGATAGTACTTATTTTATATTACAGAAATAATGAGAGAGAGAGGGAAAACTTGTGTAAAATAATCAAGGGATTTTTTTAAAAATACAAAAGAGAGAAAATAAATATCTATCTATAGAGAGAGTAAAAATACAAGAGAGAACAAATATATATTTAATAATAGAGAAAAGAATATTATAATGAATAAAATTTACTGTTCTAATATAGGATTTTTTATGCTCCAGAACAGCTGATTTCTAATTGTTGTATTCCTCATTTTTTGTGTTGTTTTTTTTAAATATATATATAATATTATGTTACTGGCATGCATACATCTAATTATTATTATACATTTGCCTATATGCCTTGTTATAATAATTTTAAAATATTTTTCTCAAAACTCTAATCTACATATTGTATTGGTGGCCATGACCTTATAAAAATTTTGTCCATAATATTTTTTAGATACGTGATAAATCTTGTCTATTTTTGACTCAAAATTATGCAAAAATTAAAATATTCTTGAAATATTTCTTTAAATTGAGCGTATAACAAATTAATACAAAAATTTTTATACTAGATATTTGCAAAATTTTTGCTATGAAAATTTTTAAATTTAATAAAAGCATTATAGATATTATGAAAATTATTATTAAAACTATAAATTTTCAATAAAAATTTGATTAAACCTCCAGATTTTTATAGTATAATTTGATAAATACTGAAAAATTTCTCGGAGAGTAATATTAATGTCGTGGCAAGTACATTTTAATGTAGCGTCATGATACTAAACTAGTATGAAGGTGAAAATAACAATATTATATTTCTGTATATACAAAATATATAATATAAATTTGTATACTCTCCAATTTATGATTTAAAGAATAAATAACAAATTCTCTCACAATTAGAATTCTCCTGACAATCGTTCAGTAATGAGGTTTTTTTTCTAGTTATTAACGGAACAGCGTTTCTTGTGTTAATTTTTATTTTGCTATTTATATTAATTACAATACAAATTATATGTATACATATTTATAATGAAATTTTGTATACACACATATATGCATGTAATATGTGATGTGTATAACCTTAATATTTATATTTTATAATGTGTACATGTTTCTGGAAATTTTTTCCATAATTTTTGAATTCATAGAGAACTCTTATGTATTTTTCTATAATTTTTATATATTTATGTGCATGTATACAAATATAATTTTCAAAAAATATTATAAAACATAAATAAATTCTAGTTATACAATAGTATTATTTATTATAACAGTAACATAAGTAATAATTTTCTTAATTTTCTTCTCTAAGATTTTTTTATGTACACAATAATAGTTCATGAGGTCAAGGATTTGAAAAAAACAAAATATAACATAAACATGAACTTAAAATATTAATATGTAAGCAATAAGCTCATTAAATATCAGAGGCATTTTTAAAATACAAAATTTTGAGCATAAAAACAAATAGAGTATACCTTTGTATACCTATACAATAACAAATGCAATATAATAATATTTTAAATGTATGTCATGAATTTCTATACATATCGTATATTATGTATGTATGCACATACAAGTACGTACACAAATAAATATTATTCTAAAATAATCACTATTATCATATTTTGAGTGATATTTCAAAAGTGAATTTTATAATTCATAAATTTATAATAAATGTTTTGTATGTACGCTCTATATATATAATTTAAATGAAGGTCCCTTTGTATAAGAAGGACAATCATATTATTATTTTCTATTCTAAATTTAATATGTGTGTAATGTAAACAAACCTTCAAAACGGAAATTCAAATTTAATTCCCAATTTAAATAATAATTTTTTAGAATTTTCATTGACATTAATAATAAATATTTTAATAACAGGAACTTTGAAGTTCAATGAAAATTTAAATTGAAAAATTAAAAATTATAAATACATATTCGTGATTGTATACAATTTAAATTGAATTATAGACGATTAATAAGGCAATATTCTAGAATTGCAGGCATTTGAAATAAAATATTTCCAAAACCAAGTACTAAAAAAAATAATCCATCCAAATTCTAAAATGTATTGTTCATTGTGATAACAAATTGTCATGGCAGTAAAAATACAGCATTTAAGAAGTGATTCCCATTACAACTAATTCTACATTCAAAATCTTTATATCTAATTCTTAATGTTCATTTAAAATTCAATATTGGCCATCGCACCATACATAATTTTAACAAACTTTTCTGTTATATGTTATATACATAAATATGTTGAATATACCCTAGATAACAGATGAGCCAATTAAGAGGAAAAAGGCGACAATAACTTAACAAATTTTACCTACTTTTAAGAAAAAAAATTTTTAAAAAATTCCAAAATTTTTAAATGCCTTCTAATTCCATTAAAAATATTTTAAAATAAAAAAATATTATAAAATTTCTCTAAATTTTTCTTCTCTTTTCATATATGTATATTTTTTTTGCGGAACAATAACGAAAAAAATACGTGTGTACTTTCTTGCCAAAAAAACAGGGTAACAATAAATTTATATTTAATTTTATCCCATAAAAAAAAAAAAAAAATTTTTTCTCAAAATTCAGGTTAAGAAAAAGAAAAATAGTTATAAATTTTCTAATTTTATTACAATATTCCAACAACAATAACATCATTTTACAAAATTTCCTTTGACGTAACTGT